TGCTAGATGTCAATCTCTCGAATTCATAAAAGTATAGGATAGATGCAAAAGTAATGTGCAATAAGAAAGTATAATATAGACAATACAATTTAGAATAATTATTACATAGAATATAAGAAACAGGAATGAAATTAATAATAAAATACACAGAGCCAGTGCAATGTTAAGAAAAATGTGAAAAGACACACTCAAATATTACTAAAAATGAACAGTATTAAAACTGGTGATAGAGTTTTTAAACCCCTAGATACTAATATAAACAATTGTACAGTAATAAATTTAAAAACTAAGAGAAATAATGATATTTATAAAGTATTGGCTACGAAACGTGAGGTGAAATGATAGTCAGAAACTCAAAAACAAATAAATTTTAAGTATCTGGAATAATTAACCAAAATTCCAATTGTTTCCCTTTCCCCATATTTTTAAGGTTCAGATATTTCCCTTTGAAATCTATTTTATTAAACGGGAAAATAAGCCATGGAAAGCTTTTCTGTGGCCATTACATACATAACACCAAAACTTGAAAACAGCCAATATAAATTATGAATTTGAATATAAAATTAATATATAGGTACAGAAGATGACCACAAATAATTCACTTCAGAAATGCAAGACCAAACAATAATAGAATCAATTTATATTATTCAATCCCATCAAAAAGTGGGCAAATCCTTATGAAAAATGTCCCAAACAACAAATGTTGGAGTGGATGTGGAGAGATTGGAAAACTCTTACACCGCTGGTGGGACTGCAAATTAGTACAACTCCTGTGGAAAGTAATTTGGAGATACCTTAAAGAGCTAAAAATAGAAATACCATTTGATCCAGCAATCTCACTACTAGGTATCTATCCAAAGGAAATAAAGACATTCTATAATAAAGACATCTACACTCGAATGTTTATGGCAGCACAATTCACAATTACAAGGATGTGGAGGCAACTGAAGTGCTCATCAATCCAAAAGTGGATTTATAAAATGTGGTGTACGTACACCATGGAATACTACTCAACTACAAAAAACAACGCTGATCTAGCACCTCTTACATTACCCAAGATATGGAGCCCATCCTTCGGAGTGAGGTATCATGAGGATGGGCAAACATGCACCACATGTACTCACCATCAAACTGGTACTAACTGATCAACACTAAGGTGTTCACATGGTAGTAATACTCATGGGGTGCCAGTTGGTGGGGATGAGGGGTAAACCCACAACTAATGGAAGCAGAATTCACTGTATGGAGGAGGGACATGCTTGTAGCCCTGGCTTCAGCAGTGCAAATGCATGATATGTCACCAAAATGTTTGTACTCCCGTAATATCCTGAATAAATTTTTTAAGAAGTGGGCAAAAGACACAAACAGAAGTCTTCCAAAAGGAGATAGAGAAATGGACTACAAACATGAAAAAATGCTCAACATCACTAATCATCAGGGAAATGCAAATTTAAACTACAATGAGGGCCGGGCGTGGTGGCTCACGCCTGTAATCCTAGCACTTTGGGAGGCCGAGGCGGGCGGATTGCTTAAGGTCAGGAGTTTGAAACCAGCCTGAGCAAGAGCGAGACCTCGTCTCTACCAAAAATAGAAATAAATTAATTGACCAACTAAAAATATATATACAAAAAATTAGCCGGGCATGGTGGCACATGCCTGTAGTCCCAGCTACTCGGGAGGCTGAGGCAGGAGGATTGCTTGAGCCCTGGAGATTGAGGTTGCTGTGAGCCAGGCTGACGCCACGGCACTCACTCTAGCCTGGGCAACAAAGTGAGACTCTGTCTCAAAAAAAAAAAAAAAAAACTACAATGAGATACCATATGACACCTATCAGAATGGCCATTAAAGAGTCAGACAACAATAGATGCTGGTGAGGAAACAGAGAGAAAGGAACGTCATACACTCTCAGTGAGATTACAAACTAGCACAACACTATGGAAAACACTGTGGGGATTCCTCAAAGAACTAAATGTAGACCTACCATTTGACCCAGCATTCCCAGGGCTCAGGATCCTCACAAATGAAAGGAAGTCATTTTATTTAAAACAAAAAAGAAAAACAAAAAAACTTGTATTAAAATGTTCTTTTGTTTCTGTTTTTAATATAATTTATTTAGTGGTAAGCTTACATCAATTAATTTTTAAATAAATATATTTAACAACTTTCTCTCAAAATTCCCAAACATTTAGCCACCAGCTCTTCCCAAGCGGATATAAGCCAGCCAGCCTGTCACACCCCTGGTGGGGTATAGACAGTGAAGAAGCAGCAGAAGGGAGGCCAGTGGGAACTGGGAGGCGCCTCTCCCTCATCTCTGAGCACTGGATCTTCAATCTGGCTGGAAATGGAGACAATTCAAGATGTGACATAGAAATGTCACTTTATTTGGGAGCTCACTGGCTCCTGGGCCTGGAAGTGGGCCTTGATTCCAGAATTACTTCCAATGGAACAGAGGTTGCTTATATTCATCTTGTCCTTGCTTGCTTGGCTTGAAACAGAAGTGGGAGTGGGCCCTTGATTGCTTTAGGGCTGTCATAGGTCACGTCGTGAGGACCCTTGTCGCTGGTCTCCAAGCTTCTCGGGAGTGCTCTTCTTCCAGTTCTCCTCTGCAGCCTCCTCCCGTGGAGTCTCCTGGAGTCTCAGGTACCCTTCCTTCTGACCCTCGTCTGATGTATGCTTGTCTGATTGCTTATTTCTTCTACTTTCTTGCAAAATCTGTCTTTTTTGCAGGGACACTCTGGCTGGCAGTTTTTCCCATCCGCCATCTTGCTCCCCACCCTGTACTAAAATGTTTATCGCAGCACAATTCACAATTGCAAAGATGAGCAACCAACATAACTGCCCATGCAATCATGAGTGGATAAAGGAAATGTGGTGAATATGCACACTATGAAACACTACTCAGTCATAAAAAGAATAAGATAATGTCTTTTGCAGCCAATTTGGATGGAACCAGAGACCATCATTCTATGTGAAGTATCTCAAAAATGGAAAACCAAACACCGTATGTTCTCACTAATAAGTGGGAGTTAAATTACGGGTACACACAGGCACAGAGAGATATATACGATATTGGAAATCAAAAAGGGGGTGGTGTGGGAGGAGGAATGTGCGAGGAATGTACCTTTTGGGTACAATGAACAGTATTCTGGATACCGGAACACAAAAGGCTGACTTAAGCACTATACAAGCTATCCATGTAATAAAAACATCTGTACCTCCCTAGTCTTTTATATTTAAAAAAAAAAATTAAAACGGCAGAACTGCTGCAGGGCCAGCATTCTGCATGCAGGTCCTGTCTTGTCCCCAGCCAGCCCCAAGACAGGTTGAACTTATAAGATCAACATTCTTCCAGGCAGCTCTTTCTTTCTGTCAGATCCTTCTTATTTAGGCTGGTTTCATCCAGACAAAAGGGAGTAAATTTGGAGGGAAGAGACACACAGTGAATATTTAAGAGGAAATTCTTTGTGGTTATATGAACTGGAATATGCACACCCTCCATTTCTAAGGTGTCCCAAAAATAGGACCTTCTGAGGTCTGCAGTGTTCCTCTATGTGCTCTTTCATTGGCATCTCTCTGTTCTTGCTGACAAATGAAAAATATCCCTTTAGCAAATATATATAATACATGCCAGGAGTGGGGTCCCCAAGGTTCCCAGAGTCTTTTGGGCTGGGCCATAACCACGGTAGCCTCAAGATGGCAGCTTCTGGGGTTTTGAGTTTACAGCTCTTGCTATGTAGAACTAGGATGACCCCCTACTTAATGTGGAGGGGGCTGGATGGGAAAAAGCCTCAAATACCTCCCCTGTAAATTTGGGCACTTGGCCTGGTGACTTCAAAGGTCCCAGAGGCATGGAGAAGTATCTGTTGGCTTTAGTTCTTCATCAGTTACCCACTGTGCTGCCAGTCCCTTGGGAAAAATGGTTTCTATTCCCTGGAGATCCTTCAGAGCAGAGAGCAGCCTGTGAGTTTGTAGAACTAAGTGCCCAGGGTAGTACAGAATGTGGAAAAGCATTGGACCACATCTCTGAGGTCCAGGGACAAGACTGTCCCTATCAGAGCCTCAGGGTCCTCATTTGTGAGTGGGGCCTGAGTCATTGACCTGGTTGGGCCGAGGAGGCCTTGGGAGTGAACTGCACACCCCAGAACACTGGAGGCAAACAGGGAGAAGGGGAGGCTTCCAAGGTCTCTCCCAATATCCTGGAGCCTGTAGTCGCACTCACTTGCCCTGCAATGTTCAGAGAGAGACACTACCTTGAGGACACACAAACAAAAGTGTACTTTGTTTGCTCCACTCCCCATCCTTGTGCTGGAGTGGCAATGAGGGGACACCAGAGAGAGACAGGGCCTACTGTGTTCTACTTGAGCAACTGGCGCTGGTAACATGGGGGCTCCTTTGCTGTGTCCCCTTCCTGGGACTCAACATGCACCCTTCATTACCAGCATTCCTCTCCACAGTGTGAGCTGCTCAGGGGTAAAAAGGGGCCCAAGATCACCTCATTTACTCACAGCAACTGTGCCCCAAGTTGTCACCCTACGCAGGGGTGACATTAGGCCTGGATGCAATGATGAATGTAACCAACATGGTCCCTGTCCTCAAAGAGCTTGAGGTCTGCACGGGGAGATGTACAACTTCACGAAAGCAGAGGCATGTGGGAGAGATACCAAGTGCTCTAGTGAAACAAAGCAGGTGCTGGGACAGAGAGCTGGGGCCACTAGGCACGCAGGTGTGAAAAGACTCAATGAGGTGACATTTGTGCTGTGATCAGAAAGACAAGAGGAGGCAGCCCCCTCACAATCTAGGAACACTGTCCTAAGAGGGAAGGTCTACTCTTCAGAGACTTCACAATAAATGAATTTGGCCACAGAGGAGGTGAGAAAGGCATCCGGTGTGTCTGGAGGGAGCCTAGGAGAAGAGGAGGGAAGGGAAGGAGGAGGGCAGGGCCACACCCCAGGGCCTGGAAGACTCTACAATGTAATAATAGTTATTGCTAGTGACAATAGTCAAACTTACAGCTTGTAACAACAAGCATTATAATTATCAGAAAGTTTGTGCGTTTTAGGATCCTGGCATGACTGGGTGTCTCTGCCTCAAGGCCTCTAGGGAGGCTGGCACTGTGATCTCAACTGAGGGGACACTGGGCAGGATCTTCATCCCAGCTCAATCACCAGTAATCAGCAGGTTTCAGTTTGGACTGCGGGTCTCAATATTTTTCTGTCTGTAGGCCAAGTCTTCCATTGGTTCTTTGCTGCTGGGGTCTCTCTATAGGGCAACTAATAATACCTCAGCTTCCCTGTAGTGAGGGTGGGGGAAGAGAGACAGAGAGAGAGAGAGAGAGAGAGGAGAAATAGAAAGACAGAAGTCACAGACTTTCATAACTCAATCTTGGAAGTGACATCTCATCACTTTTGTCATATTATCTTGGGTAGAATCCACTCACTAAGATCAATCCGCCAAGCGGTAAGAATTACATAAGAACTTGTAGACCAGGAGGTGGGATGTTGCTGGGAGCCATTGGGTAACAGGCAGGTGGGCCATGGCACCCAAAAGGGTAGCTCTGGATCAGGAAGAATGCAGACATGGAAGGATCTTCACTATTGGGGCCCAGAGATGCCCAGGAAATCCTCCTGCCCAAACCCTACACAGGTAACTGCCCAGGGATCCCTCCCAGGCATTTCCCTCCTGAATGACTCAGTATCAATCCTAGGAATCTCAGGCTCCTCCCTTCCTCTGCCTCCACTGTGGAATCCCAAACTGACCAGTCACAAAATCAGTTTTCACAGATTTATAGGAATATGTGAAGAAATTCTATATTCTGTTTTTACTTCATGTTACAGCCTTGCATTCAGCTAGCATTCATATTGCTGTAACCGTTCCTCCATTGCCCCACCAGTGTGAATGTGAGTCAGCCCTGAGCCTGGATGAGACCTGCAGGTGGCACCACCAGGGCAGCCAGGCTAGAGACACTGGAGGAGGCCCTGGTGCCTCCCCCCAGAGCAGTGACCCCTTGCATGTCCCCACCTTCCTGGGGACCTCCCAAATGCTCACCACCACCCACCAGTTCCTTACCTGCTGCTCAGAAAGTATCCCACTGTGATTTTGATTTGCATTTTTCTGATGTTTAGTAATGTTGAGCATTTTTTTCTCATATCATGTTGGCCTTTGTATGTCTTTTCAGAAATGTCTATTCAGATATTTTGCCAATTGAATTATTATTATTTTCCTATTGACTTGTTGGGGCTCCTTATATATTCTGCTTATCAGTCCCTTGTCAGATGTATAATTTGGAAATATTTTTGCTCATTCTGTGGGTTGTCTCTTCTTATTGTTGTTTATTTCCTTTGCTGTGCAGAAGCTTCTTAGCTTGATGTAATCCCATTTGTCTCTTGCTTTGGCTGCCTATGCTTTTGAGATCTTAACTGAAAAAAGTCTTTGCACACATCAAGCTCCTGGAGCATTTTCCAATTTTTTTTCTAGTAGTTTTAGAGTTACCAGGCTTAAATTCAAGTCATTAATCTATTTTGACTAGATTGTTGAATCTGGTGAGAGATACGGGTCTGGAAAACATGGCCAAATGTCTGAGATGGGTTTCAAAAGAAGACATCAGGGCCACCAGGTACCAGTACAGCCAGGTTACTAAAAGGCACAGCTGCAGAGCAGGGAGCCAAGAATGGATGTACATACGCTCTCCTCCCACACCTGGATTCAGTTGTATCTTTAAAATTCCCAGGCCCGTTTGTGTCTAGTTTTCTCCTTCCTGGTGAATCTAGAGGTTTCATAATGTGGACAGAAAGCTTCAGTGATGGAATAGATAGATGAGATTGTTTCCAGAAATTTAGCAAAAAGTGCTGAAAAAGAACTATTAAGTACACAGATTGCTGATTTGGCCTCAAAGGTGTGTCAGGGACACTGTTTGATTCTCCCACAAGCCACGTAGTCATCCGCCTGGTAACACCGCCTCCATCTTCATCAAACAACTGCTCCATTTCCTCCCCTCTGACACCCAGGATCCTCCCATCAGTTGTAGCACTTCACAACGCTGATTTTTGATGTGCGGAAGTGTCCAGTGAAGAGGTTTCTCATTAGAATTTTGTCCACTTTGCCATCTGTGCTGTTAACTAACTTCATTGCCTTCTCTTATAGATCATCCAGCACTTTTTGTGGGAGCTCATTTTGATTTTTAAGTTTTTCAATTTGTTCTTCCTTTAGCTCTAACTGTCCTGTAAGTCGTAATGCTGACATTTGCTTTGTCCAAATGTTCCTGTAATGATGTCACTTTTCCCTCCAGATTTTCTGCCTTTCTCTCCCAACCAGCTGTGAGTTGTTTTTGCTTTTCTAGCTCAGGCAAATGCATGGCTTTTTCCTCTTGTTGGAAATGCTCTAGTACCATCTGCAGGTTGGCTGGTGACAGAGGGTGCTGCTTCACTTGGTCCTGAGAGACAGAAAGCTGCAGTGCAATTTCATCCCTCTGCTTGGAGACTGCACTCAGTTGTTCTTCAAATGACTGTACCTGCACCCTGGCTTGATGGCCTGAACTTTGCATTGCATTGTCCACTTCTAGTTTGCTAATGTCTGTTCCTAAAATTAATATTCTCTCCTTGAAGTTTGTTACTTCTGGCCTCAAAGTTCGTTTTCATTTAACTGTTTAGTGAAATTTTCATTTGAAGAAAGTAACTGATCACTTTTGGCTTAGATTAAGAAGTCTTTTTCCTTAAGCAATCTTTGTAAAATATCGTCTTTGTCCTTTAGCTGCTTAATGTCTGCATCAGTTTGCTCATATTTTTTGTTGTTCCAGCTCTGCAGTGGCAGCAATCAACTTAGACAATCTGACATTATTTTCCAGGACGGTTGTAGTTGTTGCATCTTTTTCTTGCAGTGATTCCCTAAGCTACTCTATCTCTTGCTCAAGAAACTCAGAAGACCCAGTAGAGGCATCAGACTTACTTGCTCCAAGACACTCTGCTGACTGGGGAGTAAGGGATGATCTAGAAGAGAGCTGGAATGAAATATCTTGATTTCCTAAAAGAAGACCCTTGGTATCTCAAAGCTGCCCTGGGCTGTGTTGAGCTTGTGCTAATTGCTGTCATCGTCACGGAGAGCTGAAGCAGGATGACCGAGCCCATAGCCCTGCGAGGCTGGCGCAGTGGCTGCCGCTGCAGCTCCAGGTCCCGACCGCGGGCCGCGCGGCCGACGCAGTTTCAGCAGCGGCCCCTGGGCGCAGCCCGCCTGGCTCGGAGGCGCCGGCTTCTCCCTCTTCCTGTCCCGGTGGACGTCGGTAACTTGCGGATGGCCGCTTCATTTGAAGCTGTGGTGCTTCCCGCTCCTCTTCCACATCAGGGCGGAGCCTCCCCGGCCTTCCCTTCTCCGACCTCAAGACGGCGCGACGGCTTCCGCGGGCGTCCTTTCTCCTGGAGGGAGGCGATTCCCGGCCGTCCTCCCTGCCTCCCTCAGCGCGTCCTTTATAAGGTTCGAAACGCGGCGGGAGGGGAGCCAGGCCGCCCCGCACGGACCGGAGACCGGCCCAGGCCGCCGCCGAGGCCCAAGCCAGGGCGACGCCGCTGAGGGTGTGGAGAGCCACCGGGTCTCTCCCTCCGAGAGAAGCGCCCGTCGCTGCGGGACGGTCCCGCCAAGTGTCCTCTAACCGCGCCTGCGCGAGCCTGAGTCGCTCAGGAAGTGACGACACAAGGCGGGTTCCTAGGCAACGCCGGCGGGGCGGGGCTCCCACCAATGGCGGGCTCCGCCTGGGAGCGCGGTGTCCCGTAGCGCTGTAGGTGACCAAGATTGACAGTGTCCTGTATGTTTTGAAAGACTTGGCAGGATTTTGAAATGGTTCTAACACAAAAAATGATATTTGAGGGGATGAATATGCTCATTACACTGATTTGCTCATTAGACATTGTATACATGTGTCCAAATATCACACTGTAATCCATCCATATGTGCAATTATTAAGTGTCAATTAAAAACACTAATGACAGCAAAAATACTTGGGTGATCTGAAGTGAATTAACTAACTGCAACTTAGTTCTGCTGAATTCTTCAAAATATTCTAGAGAAATACTTATAAATTATTTTAAAACAAACAATTGATACATCAAAGCAAACACAGCATACAGTGGAGGTTTTTGTTCATAAAATACAATTTCCATCATGTTATTCCCTCACTCAAAGCTTTCAGAGGTTCCCTATTATCCAAAGACCAGATCTGTCAGGTTGACACTGAAGGTCCTCCCAAACCGACCTCTGAGCTGTCCATGCAGTGGCACCTCCAGGTCTCGGAGCAGCAGCCCAGTCAGTCCAGGAATCCTCTCCAGGTCCCTCCTTCCTCACTCCTGTGGTTGGTTTATTACCCCTGCCTGCAATGCTCCCTCTCCTCCCTCTCATTCAAATAAAATGCTTTCTCTCCTACAACGCCTTTCTGCACCTTTCTCCTCCCAAGGGAACAATAATTTAATTGGTGAAATTAAAAAACTACAACAACAAACCAGTTACAGCCTCTAGAAATTTTCCTAGGGGCACACACAAAATGAAGAAACTCTTATTCAGAGCAGAGAGTTTGTGGCATTTGAGCCGTGATCTGCTTCCACCCTCTTCACCCAGCTCGATGCAAGAGAAGATCTGCTCTGCACGGCTTGGGCAGAGAAGACAGGACTCACTTTCCCTACAGCTCCTGCTCTAGGGCTATGCTTTCACCCTGTGAGGGGCAGGACAGCAGTGTCCTTTGCCACCCCGGCTCTGTGTTGCAGAAACACTATTCTAGGCAGGAGTGGCTGAGAAAATCCAGGTTTCCTTCCCATCACTAGGCCCCCAGCACTGAGTGAAGAAACAATGAGGTTCATAATTTGGGAAGGAGAGTTTTGTTTCTCATAAAGGGCTGCAGCCTTTGGGTGGCCATTCCGACAGGCTGGAAAACTGGCCCCAGCCAGATGCCAGGAACACATGTTTGAGGCAGGAACAAAGGGAACTGAAATCTATGCTGAGTGGGATGGCCAGATGTACTTATTCAACAAGCTATAGGAGGAGTCATGAATATTTATGAAAGAGGAAACATGTGCTTGCACAATTAAGTTTTGCCCCCTTTTTATGGGGTCCATGTTCAGAAAAGGCCACCCTTTTATGTCAAAATGGTGAAGCAAGGACAGGAATCCCCTCTCTGTGCATGCTCTGCAGACTAGTAGCACCACTGCATGGTGGGTGGTCCCTCGTCAGGAAAGAATGCTGGTCTGGACCATGAGATTGGTTTCTATGTAGCCCTTACAAAAAAGCCCAATGATCGTTAGCAAGGGAGAGGGTATAACGAGGCATGTCTGACCTCCAATCCCATCAGGGCTGGAAACTCAGTTTTAGGGCTTCTCTGGGGTCCCCTTTGCCATGAGGGGTCTGTTCAGTCAGCAAAGGGTTTAGGATTTTATTGTAGCTCACCTCACTCATAAGATAGAAACTCTACTCCAGGTGTGGTGGCTTAGAATACTGTATTTCCATCACTCCTATCCCAGTTTGCTTATAGAGTAGAGGTTCTATGAGAGTCAAACCAAGCTGACTGGGGACTACCATCCCACCTAATGCCCACTTATAGGGCAGGGGTGTCACACTGGGAGACCAGGCCATGGTCCCTGCTCCAAGCTGTAGTGCTTAGGTGCAGGTTTTGCCCAGGAGGAGGGGCAGGCCATAACAGAGAGCTAGGCAGGTTTTCCCAAGGAGACTGCCTTTACTTGGAACAGAGCTTGCACAGGTTTGAAGAGTGCTGTCAAAGACAATACAGATTTAGATGATAAGCGATTAAGAGGAAGTGAAACAGTAGACCAGCTGGAAGTTTTCCTGGGAGAACTAGAGAAAGAGACAGCTAAAAGGGCCCTGCCAGTGCAACTGCACCAGGACTGCACACCACATTAATACGCCAAGACACCATGTTGCAGCAGAGAAAGAGGTTTATTCACAAGATCTACAGCCAAACGCAGAGGTGGGATGAAACCTCAGATCTGCCTCCCTGAGGAATTCAGGGCTAGGGATTTTAAGGGATTTGGATGAGTAGTGGCCCGAGATATGGGGATTGTTGATTTCATCAAAGTCACAGTAGAATTGCAGGACAGGATATGAAGGAGGCCTGTTCTAATGATGAAGCACTGAGAAGGACTCAAAAATTAAGTATTTTTGACTTAAGATTA